GCCTCCTTTGCCAGCTTCTCGTTGCTGCTTCCACTAAGTAATTAACCTTTGAGCCTTTTAGTTTTGAAGGCAAAGGTATCACATAGTGAAAGGAGCAAAAAGAAGCTTAGAGCAAAGCCAAAAGGCTTTTCCCCTATATCTATATCTTTCTATCTATCACCTTCTTTTTAACAAAATACACACACACCTTCCTACATTGTTCGAAATTATATCGACAATAGACAAGTCTTTTTACTTTTATTAGAGAGTAACGGGCTTGACCGTACCGCGTTTAAGGTACTTGGACTTGTAGAAGTTCATTTTCGTCGGGGCAATGATCTCTGTTGCTCCCAATACACACTTGTGGTAAGAGAAATCTTCTGTTGTTCCGTCTATCCTTACAACCTCGAAGCAGCGGGCATTTTCGTGCTTAGAATTAGCGACCTGTACAAGAAAGATCGCAAAAACTGGTCAGGATCTTTCGAATGTTTCCAAATAATCTGAAAATTTATCATCAGACGATTTACCCTGATTCCTTTGAAGCCTGGTCCTATTTTATCAGCTCTGTTGGGGTGGAAGAGCAGAGCCATCATTAACAATCTTTCATCCCTCTCATTCAATGGAGCATCGATCTCGTAACTAACAAAAATAACGCAGTTACAATTTGCATCTTTACTGTTCTTTGAACATAAAAATTGAAACTATGAAACAGAGAAAGACTTTAATTTTTTCTTACTTGTTGAGTATGCGTTTCAGTGACCGAGAAAGCCTCTCGACATCGTCCCATGTAAAGATCTTTCTGAGCTGCGCCTTGGAAATCCCTTTCCCAATGAGTGCCTTAATTGCTTTCGGGACTGCGGTATCTAGCAAGTGGAATGGCAGGACCGTGAATTTGTCTGATTTGGGCAAAGGGTTTGTTGCACGCAACATTCCTGTCTTTGGAAGTGTCGCTGTACTACTCAGAAGGTCATACACGTCTACGGGTTTAGTAAATCCGTGATCCTGATGAAAGCAGAAAGACACTAATTAGACTACTCAAGTCGTGATCGAAACGGATAACAAATGTTAAAAGTTATTTTACCTTTGGCGAAATGATGATTTCGAATTGATCTCCAGTTCCAAAACACGGAACTTTTCCCCAAGCCAATGCGTCGATAGATCCTTGAAGCTCGTCTACGACACCTTCCTTTGCAGCTTTGAGAAAGCATTGACTTGGGCTCTGTAGAGATTAAGCAAGCACTAAGTGTCAAATCAAATCCTATCTAAGCTTGATAAAACAGAAGAAAATTGGGATGTTATGTTAATATGGGATTGAGTTACATACCGAGAAGCATGCTTGAGTAAACGGTGCAGCCGTTGACTCGACCTGTCTTTGTTTACTCCAACCTTTGGCATTTAATGCCACAAACTCCCCAGTAACAGAGAGACAATCAGCTACAAGAAGCAGATGTTCCCGTAGTATCGTCTTACCGGTATCTGAAACAGCAGACTCCAAATTCTGCGGTCACCAAAAAAATCTTATACTTTAGAAGCAGTGAGACCAAGAAGATGAAGAAATAGTAAAAGAAATCGATACTAACTGCTAGGAAAATGCTCTGTCCAGCGTCTATTCCATAAATCGAGGAGCACTGACGGATATTATCAGGATGGCTACGGCTCCAATCAATCATATCCATCACGGGAAGACAGGTTTCAAGAAGAGCACTCCAACAGTTCTTTTTGCCCCGATCTCCATACATAGTAACCCTCAAGAAAAGCTCACCAGCCAAATGATCTCCGTTCCTTTTTGGCGCTTTTGGTCGGTCAACCCATAAAATATCCACCTTTTTAATCTCTCGGTAGCCTGCAAGAACAGATGCTAAAACTCGTAAGAAAGGTAATAATAAAACATGAACTGTCCATCTCAGACTTCTTCTTATTCATTCCGGTTTTACCTTTGACAGGACAGTCGAGAAGAAAAGGGATCAAGACGAGTCGAATAGCATCGAGTTCTAAAGAAGAATGCTTGGAGGCTTCGACTACAGTAACCGTGATGCAGAAACTTTCATCCTCCATTGCCTTCTCGTCTGAAGAGCAGTGGTTTCTGATCCCCAACACATAATGTATAACAAATCAATATCAAATAAAGGTGTAAAAGGCCAAATAAAACCTGTCCACTGCAAATTTGAAGATGCTCTTACGTGCTTTCTATGAGTAAATCAACTAAATCAAGCTTCAGTTCTTTCTTCCTGCTTATATACTGCTTGTTTAATGCAGAGACAATCAATTCGGCGTTCAGTTGTTTCTGCTTCACTACTTTCTGTAAAATTACAAAAGAGATACATTATGTTTATATAGACGTCTGTGAGTTTGTATGTGTATGAGTTTGTTGTACCTCGGAGATATGAAAATGGCAAACCCACTGGCTCAAAGGTGCCTTTGTGTTAGTGCTCGGAGAGAATCTATTAAACAAGCAGACGATAAAAAATTGTATAAGAGAAGCCATTGAAAAGAGATTCATAAAGACAGTTAGAGTTACTAACATTATCATGGTAGTTGAAACGATCTCTGAGAAACTATGTTTCTCCAAGTGGTTCTTGATGTCCAGTGACCCGTATTCGAACCCATGCTTTTTCTTAGAAAGGGTTTCAGACAAATACAAAGACATTGTCTGTTCTCGTTGACCTTTCTTCGATCCACACTCCAAGATATTCTGCAGAAAGAGATGATATGTAGTTAGAGAAATGGAAAAAAAAAGTGTGGATACGATTAATAAATTCGAGAAAAGAAGAAAACCTTAAGATTCAGAAGCGGCGAAGTTTCAAGAAGGCTGATTGGCTGGTCCAGCGCACTGTAAGCTGCCTCAGATAAGGCACAAGCTGAAAGTGACCCGACTGCTTCGCCGTTTATATCTTCTGCGGGATCATCAGTCTCATAAGAAAACTGTACTATATGGTTCCCGAACGAATTTCTCACTGTTCCGTCATAAGCAGCATATATGTCCCGCATAAAGAACATCAATCTTCTGCTAAGTGTCCCCGGAAGATCAGCATTACCGCTGAAGGAGCTATCACGACTTGTTACAGAATGAACAAAAGATTCCAACGGGTTCAGACCCGTTAGAAACGAGTTCTCAATGACTCCGTACGGAACAAAGGACTCAGTAGCAGTTTTGCCTTCTCCATTTGCACCGCGAAGCGGACTGTTCGGGTCGTTCCAAGCAGCACAAGTCAGCTTGCGTGGAAACCCGAAGGATAATGCAACTGACGAGTTCTGCAGACCAATGCACATGCTGTGCTGAACCAGCTTCCCTATATTTCCTTTGCTACCGGCTTTCGACATTATCAAAAACGAATTTGATTGATCACCGTACCTGTATGCCAATGCCTGAACATCTCTATAGGCATCCTTGAAAGCACTAACGGCAAGTTTACTTAGCGCCGCTGATCTCTGTCTCTCGCAGCAGAACCGAGCCAAATCTGCCACCAAATCCTCCTCTTCCTTTTCTTCTCCGTCAACCACAAGGAAATCTCTACCGGATTCAACCATTAGCTGCTGCTTGTTGCAGACTTGTTCAGCTTCCTGCAATCCGTATGTTATCTCCTCTGTCAAGTTTCTCCGAGACTGCGGATCAGAGGAAAGGTACAAATCAGCTAAGGATACACTCAATCCTCGCATCAGCAACCACTCAGAGAGCATTTCTTGAGCTGAATAGATGATATCAAGCACTTTCCCTTCGTCATGTTTGAGCAATCCCTGGATGAAATTCCCTTCTCCATCCCGGAGCCAAGCAGATCCTTCAGAGGAAGACAACAGCTCTCCGTTACTCACAACCACATTGTTCAGAGGGTAAGCGTAGTCAAACCCAGGAGGAAACAGCATCCCGAATAGCTGCAGTCCGGTCCACTGAGGCTCGCTGCTCGAAGGAGAAGCTCGGATAATTGCAGGTGGAGGAAGCTGAAATGGGCAATACATTTGCAGCTGCTGCATCTGCGCTCGATTCAAGAAACAGTTTTTCTCGACATTAACCAGATAAGCTGCCGTCAAGCTATCCTGTCCTAATGAAAGCAAATTCCGACCGTTTTGTCTGTTAATAAGCTGTTTATCCAAAGCCACAAGCTCATCGAGCTCCACCCTCGCTTGTACCGACTGTGGAACATAACCGTGAAGACAATCTCCATCAAAATCACCACGAAACGGCAAACAACAGATTGGATTCAAGGAGACGACGGAAGTTGTCGGGAGGACTCTAACTTTCATAGCAATAAGCGAATGCTGATGAATTGAAGGCGGTCTGTTCATCAGCACAGTATCTCCATCTGTTAAAGTCCGGAAAATGTTGTCTCCGTTCTGGAGGTCATCGATTACTCGAATAGCCACTAAGCTATCTCCTCTTCTGACATGAACCTCTCCTTTCTCGAGCAGTCTGTGGAAACATGAAGTGACAAGCCGTTCTCTGTTCCAGTTGTTAAGATTTTCTGATACTTGAAGCCTTTCCGCGATCCTCCGCGGTATGCCAATCTCATGAAGTTTCAAGGATGGATCACCGACAACTACTGTCCGGAACGTATGATCGCTTCTTTTACCGAGCAACACGTCTTTCATGAACCTTAGACCGCACAGTTTCGGAGTATCTGACTTCTGCTGGTACGGATTTGCGGATTCTTGACTCGAAGACACAGCTTCCGAAAAGAGCTGTGCCAAAAACAAGGATTAATCACTTCACAGAGTATAATAGAAAAGGGTTTAATTTATCAGATATATACTACTACTTACTCTGGAATATTGCATGCATTCAATCACACGAGAACTCAATTCAAGCATGTTCCCCTCAAAGCCAACTAATTTCCTGTAGATTCGAGTCCGTTCATCCTGGAAATAAAATTAACAAAAACAACAATATATGAGACAAATTACATACTCCAAACTCACAGGAGAAAAAAACAATTCAGATTTTTTACTTACAAAGATTAGTCGAGCACCGTTGAACTGATGGACCATTTCGGTTACACGGTAACCGTTTGGTGTAACTGGAAAAGATGTCAGAGGAAGAGAGTCGAACATGGGGATATCCTTCTTAATTAGCCTCTGATCAATCCCACATAACAGAGAATAAACCTGCAAAAGAGAGAGAGTTTCAGAAAACTATAGAC